AACATTTAAAGAAAGAAAGATGGGCCAGGGAGGTAGCTTGGTGGTCTAAGCACCCGCCTGGCAAATGCAAGGACCCGGGTTTGATCCCCAGTACCACATGCCATACAGGCCCTGCACTGAGCCAGCCACCAAAACTGGGGAGTGGTGGCACATGCCTGTAATCCCAGTGCTGGGAAGGCTGAGACAGGAGAATTTCTATGAGTCTGGCTGTATAGTGTGACACTTTACCAAATGAATAAAATATTTTTTTAATTAAAAAAAGGTGATGAAGGCATTTCAAAAAGAAGTCATCCTCTAAGAATGACAAGGCCATCAGGTAGAAAATACTTGGGCTGGAGATAGGCAGTTCGTGATCCCTTCCAGCCCTGCTGCCCACTATATGTGGCTTTTGGCAAATCCCTTCTCCTTCCTGGAGAGCATTCTATGAATTAATTAATTGTACGTGAACAAAATAACAAACCCCAGGAAAAAACAAAACAAAACAAAATGGTCTCCCTGCTCCAATTCTGGGGCATCAAGCACTGTGATTTAGTTGTTTGCATGTAGGCTGTCCTGCTACAAGATGCACTGAAATAGATTCTGGCTCATTTTCCTTGGGTCAGGAAATCAATGTAGTGGGACTTCATTTGTTGTATCCATCTTTTCCTATGGAAAGGAAAATTGACCTGCAGGAAATTTGACCTGCATGTATTAAGACAAAGACCCCAAGCAGTGGTGACCAAAATAAGATGTGACCATCCTGTGGCACTAAGTTAGAAAATGACCAGCTGACCTCCCTTTTGGACAACCATTTCTCACGGCCACAAGGGCCAAAACACTCTTCTTACAGACCAAAACAGAGAGAAGAAGAAAAATCAAGTAGTTCCTCGGAAATGAGGGAAGAATCAGAATATACAAGTAGTTGGAATAAGAAGAGAAAATTGGCCAGATACGACAGGAGAGGTCAGGAGCCTGCCACAGAACGTGGACCAGGAAAACGTGGCCTGACTTCCACATTTTAAATGGCTTTCCCTCCCTGCTTACTGCCTTGCCATTTGCCATCTTGGTCTGTGTACACGAAAGAGAAAACAGGTAATAAATGTAGCGGAGTTAAAAAAAAAAAAAAGTTGAGCAGTTTCCTCACCTAAAATATTCTCAATCTAAAATATCCAACAGTAAAGATATTCAAGGCCAGAGTAAGTACAGTGAACTATTTCAGTTCTGATTACTGAGCTTCTGTGATTAACAAACATGCACTAGTGAAATGACAAGACTAAAATTATTAAGAGATAATATAGGGCCAGGGAGATAGCTCAGTAGAATAAGTGCTTGCCTGACAAGCACAAGGGGCTGAGTTCAATTCTCGATTCTGCCAAAAAAATAAAAAAAGAACTTTTGGGGCCAGGGAGATGGCTCAATGGAATAAGTGCTTCCCTGGCAAGCACAAGGGCCTGAGTTCAATCCCTGGTTCTGCCAAAAAGAAAAAAGAAATAATATAATTTTGAGCCACCTACCATAAAACGAAGATTCAAAACTTGGTTTTGTTTGGCAGGGATCAAATTCAGGGCATTCTACATGTTAGGAAAGTGCTCTGTCATTGAGCGATAGCCCAGCCTTAAATTTTAGGTATTTTCAAAAATCACTGTTATCCAACTTTCTATGTTACAAAATTAAAAAAAAAAAAAAAAAAAAACCCTCCAGGGAGAAACAGAAATGCTGCAAGTGCACAGGAGGGACGATTGAAAAAAAATATGATTAATATAGAGATTTTAAAAAATAGTCCTTACAGTAAAAGACACATTGCCAAGAATGATGGGATAAGTGTGTTTCAGGTGAGAGAGGTTTGAGTATTTTGAGGGGGAGTAATAACAATGTGTCTTTTACTGTAACAATTTTTTAATTTTAAGACTTACATTTTTTAACATCCACCACTGATAAATTTTACAGCAATTTTTGTCAAATAAAGTGTGAAATATTCTTTTTTTTTGGTGGAACCAGGGATTGAACTCAGGCCCCTGCACTTGCCAGGCAAGCACTTATTCCACTGAGCCATCCCCCCAGTCCCCTGATGTGAAATATTCTTACCCACCTTACTAACTGGATTGAGCACCATGTAGCTTCTGGTTGTTCTCCAAATCAAGATGACCATGAAAGGTTAAAAAAAAAATTGAGACAGGATTCTTCTGTGCAGTTCAGGCTTGTCTTGAATTCATTTTGTAACCCAGACTGGCCTCAAAGTCATAGCAATCCCACTGCCTCAGCCTCCTGAATGCTGGGATTATGGGCATGCACCACTACATCCTCTTAAGGTAAATATCTAAAATCTATTCAGAACATCAAGGCAGTTGTGAAGCACAAGGAAAGATACTCACAAAAGCAGACTTCCAGAACTGCTCTGGAAAGTTGCAAGAATGAGGGGATAAGTGCATCCAAAGCAACGTGGGATATTTTGAGGGGGGCTACAGCAATCTTTAACAGTAGTAATTTCTTTAAAAAATTGGCCTTCACCCTATTTCTTTTTTTTTTTTAACATTTATTTTTTTATTTGTGTGTGTGTTTGTGTGTGTGTGTGTGTGGCCAGCTCAGCTCACCAGGGGGCGGGGCGGGCTGGCATGTGGTGCTGGGGGATTGAACCGTGGTCCCTGTGCTTTGCCAAGCTTGTTCTAAGTAGGTGCTTTAGACCATTGAGCCATCTCACCAGCCCAACCCTATTTCTTTATCACAACTTACCTATCATTTTGCTTCCTCCCCTTCATCCATTTGGGAATTAGATAAGGCACTGGGACCTCAAAGAGGCCACTACGCCTTTGGAGAGAGTACCATGTAGTTGGGGGATCAAGACATCTGTATAGTCATATCAATGTACCATTTTAAGTACCCATCCATAAATGTATTACAGGCTGGGTGTGGTGGTGCATGCATGCCTGTAATCCCAGCATATGGGAGGCTGAGGCAGAAGGATCAATGTGAGTTCGAGGCTAATCTGGGCTACAAAGTGAGTTTGAGACCAGCCTGAACTGTATAGCAAGACCCTGTATCAACAAGACTTTAAAAAAAAAAAAAAAAAGGAGAAAGAATATATTACATCCCAACTATTCTAATTGTCATAAGAAATCATTCTGGAAATAAACTGCATATACTTTTTCACAGTACCACACAGTTTAAAAGACAGTATAGAAATTGCCCCGGAAACCCTAAAATCAGACCAAACACCATTGTGTTCCTATGCAACCCAACAGGTACTGGAAAAGAGATGTACAGTGGGGCCGAATCCATGGACTTATCTGGGGACGGTGGAGCAAGGAGTGGTCCTGGCATGTGGTTTCTTGGTGGCTTGTACACCGACAGACAGAGCTTTGATCTGTGGCTGTGATGGTTAAAATCACAGTTGAAGTCAAGGGCAAGCAGGGGTCAAGTTTGAGTTATGCATTCAAAGCCAGCTGTCAAAATTGGGGACACTGAAGTAAGTGTCAAGCTTGACACGCGCTGTCAGGAAGGCCAGCGAGATAGGACAGATCAACGTGTGATGGATGACTCTCGGATGAGTAGCTATGAACAGCAAGATAGGAGGCGGGGACTTCTAGGGCTTGGGAGGTAAGGAGGTGTGGTGGGATGTTAATACTTGAATGCAATTGTTATTTATTCCCAGTGGATATGTGACAGAAGACGTGTGTAAGTTGGGCCTACCTACACTAAGGCAGTATAGGAAAGGCAGAAATTAGAACTGAACTGTCTGGGATGGAGGGTAGAGCTCAGTGAAAGAGAGTTTGCCTAGTATGCCTGGGGCCTCAATTCCATCACCAACACACACACACACACACACACACACACACACACACACACACACACAGAATTTAATCTTCTTCTGAGACATAAACACTCTTGTATGTGGGGGGGAGTAATAGGATTGAACACAGCACCTTCATCCTGAGCCACATCCCCAACCCTCTTCAGTTTTTTATGTCCACGCAGGGCTTCCTTTTGTATTTATAATCCTCTTGCCTCAGCCTCTCAGAATCCTGGGATTACAAACATGCACCACCATATCTGCTGTATGCTATCATATTTAAATTTGAATATTACAGTTCAGTCTGGGTCTGTGTAGGTTCAGGAGAGGTGGCAATATGTTTGAGACCTATGAGCATAGGCATACTTCCAATATTCTAAGCTACCAAACAGCATCACCATGACAAACAGGCCAGTTTTGCTTTCTCCTAGGCCCAAATATGTGTAAAATGATCAAGACATCAACAGGCTGTTGTAGAAACTTGTTGGCTTCTCTCATGGGTGGTCTAAGCCTACCCATACAGTCACAGTCATAGTACCCATGATATTCAAAGTTCTTGCATAATAAGCATTCTCAAGAAAGAAAATGAACAAGAGAGGCCATTGTATGACATGTGAAGGTCTCTTCACTTGGTGTCCAAAAGGGTGCTGCACTGAGATTCTCTAATCTACTCATAAATCATCACTGAGAAATGGGATGTAGAGAATCTTTGTGTCATCGGACAAGCTGTATTCAAAACCAAATATGATAAGGGAGTCCACCAAAAAGGCCTGAAGCTGACAGTCAAAATAACAAAGAAAATTTACTGGTTTCTATACTGCTGCCATACATGCGCAGTCCTACAATACCCAAGCATGTTGTGGGCATGGTCAGGAGCTTCAATCATTGGCCTCGAGTGCATGAGGGACAGAGGAAACTATGTGTGACAGTGAACCTTGATTGGGTTGAGAGATACTTAGGAGATTAAGGAAGCACACTTTGGCTATGTCGGAGTGGGTCATGAGAGTGTGACCATGGGGACCATAACTGACACCTGGCTGCTTGCTGTCTGCTTCCCAGATGCCATGAGTCGAACATCTTCCCTGTGCCATGCCTTTTGCCATGCTGTCTTTGCCCTGGAGCCTGCCAACCACGGACTGAACTGAAACCAAAATAAACCTGTCCTCCTTTCTTTTGTCTAAGCAATGGGAAAGCCAATCAATAAACACGCCATGGTTTCTGGGAAGAATTATGATCATTGATCTGATGTAGGATGGTAGATAACTCCATTTTTCTCTGAAAGAAAAGAGATTTTTAAATCAGATCAATGCAAATATCCTCACAGCTCAAAAATAAAATACAGGCCTGGGGAGATAGCTCAGTGGTTTAAGTGCCTGCCTGGCAAGCACATGGACCAAGTTTGATCCCCGTTGCAGCATGCTGGGCTGGCCCTGGAATACTGGACACACAACACAGGCCCTAAAACCAGGTGTGGTGGCACATGCCTGTAATCCCAGTGCTAGGAAGGCTGACACAGGAGGATCACCATGAATTTGAATTGCACACTGAGACTCTGTATCCAATAAATAAAGAAAATAAAGTACGAAATATTTATCAAAATCCATGGAGCAAGCATTGTCAGTTTTTTTGTCTAGATGCTCTTGGTTTTGGTAAACGTTAACTCATATTCACGAACTCCACAAAATAAAACCAGGAACTCAGTCTGTATCTTTCCAGAGAGATGTAGGTAAGTGTAAAATAGTTTTTCTTCAGAAGCTATCATTCACTGGATTGAGATGAGTGCTGTACTTTACTTAGAAGGAAAGCATTAATGACCCACTAACTCTCTTAGTTGATTTCCCAGAAAAGTGTTGATTTTATGAGGACCGAGGAATGTGTTTTTCTACACTATCATGTGAATTGGGCTGAAGTCTGTGGCTACGAAGCGAAGTGCAGCTCCTGGCTCCTGAGTTCTAAGCCATGCTCCATGTGTGATCAACCTTTGCTGTGATCAGCTTGCACAACTAGTAACATCAGTCAGGCACTGACCCTACACGACTGTACCATGAGCTCTGTGTCAACAGGGCTTGTGTCCTACTTTCTCATTGCTATCTCCCAGCAACCAGTACAATGTTTGGAACACAATTAAGTATTTAATACATATTTAATGAGTGAATTTTCCCCACAATATCAAGAGACTATGTAGCTCCTGCTTCTCCTTCCTCCTTTCCTTAGTCCAAGTCCCATTGTCCAAATGTATCTACGCTAACTTTGAAAAATGAATGGAGAAGGTAAAAGACTTTTATGTGATTGGGACAGAAAAATGACTGTCAAAGTGAGAAAATTAACTGTAGTCTTGAAACAAAGGGTAACACTTCCTCAGAAGTCAATGGTGATTGACACCAAGGATACAGGTAAGAAAAAACAGCTCAAGGTCACAGCATCTTCTACCTACAAAAACAGACCAGTCTCCATGTGAGCATTATCCATGGTGTGTGCTCCTTATAGGGTGGGAGAATTGTTCAAGGGCCTTCTGTGGTGCAAACACAAGGGTTAACCCACTTGTAAAAGGATCTCAGAGAGGCAGAGGTAGAAAACAAAACTCTGAAGGAGCATTAGGAAGGAGAGCATTGTGGCCCCCTAGGATCCTTCCACATACCCTTACCTTGAGGCCTTCTTCTCCAGGCCCAAATGCCAACTCCAGCCAGGACAATGCTGAGCCCCAGGGCTGCAGGGACAGCTTTTGTCACCAGAAGAAGGACTTTCCATTCTGAAAGTAAGCAAATGAAGAAAATCCACAATTCCCCTTTCCCTTCTATGATAACTCTGAGACTTTTGTCATTGTGATCAGTGGAAAATCAACATTATTTTACTGTCAGTTCTCACTCATCAATCAATCTGATGCCTAATGGAATATCTGCTTGTGTTTTCCTTTGTTTAATTTTTCAAAATTTTAAATTTGTAACATAGTAAATAGTGGTAGATATAATCTACAAAACATGTGGGTGTGGTGGTACACACCTGTAATCCTAGCGCTCAAGAGGCTGAGACAGGAGGATTGCATGAATTCAAGGTCAGCCTGACCTACAGAGCAAGACCTTGTCTCAAAAAAGCAAAACAACCCCCCCCCCAAAAAAAAAAACCCACCAAAAATGGTCTTTGGGGCGCACAATAATTTGTGTGAGTATAACAGAGCCCTGGGACCAAGCATTGTGAAAACTACTAATTTAAGAAACCCATTCTACAGCCCACTGGGTGCTGCAGTGACCCACCTTCCTCTCTGGCAGGCTACACAGCTTCATGCCCAGCCTCTTTTCTGTGTCTCATATCCCAGACAGCTGTGAACCTAGTCCTTACCCTGGGGATCCTGAATAACCACTTGGAGACCACAGTGCTCCACATGACAAGAGTAAATGTCATTGTCCTGAGGATCCAGTTCAACAGACACCCATGTCTGATAGGTTCCATCTCCGCTGGGAAGGATGTCTCCATAATCTGCTTCTTGAACAATTTCTTCTCCAATTTTAAACCACATCATGGAGATTTCCGGAGGGTAAAAGCCATGAGCTCTGCAGAAAAGAGTTGTAATCCCTGGAAAAGTTTCTTTGCGATGTGTTCTGACAAGTGAGGTTCTAGGAAGAAAAAGCTAGGTTAACTGTTTTGAGTACTAAGCAAACAATATTAAAACTTCGCAAATGAGTTTCCCAATTAATTTTTCCTCCCTGTAAGAAACATCTAATGTTAAGATTGCCCAGGTACATCAACAACAAACTTATTTCTTACGTACTGTCTACTGGGCCAGTGTGCTAGGTAATGAAGTCATACTCAGTTCTGCGATGTAGGATACAGCACAGAGTGTTTAGAAAACGTGTTGAGATTGATTATTATTTGAAATACATTTATATGTCAAGGAAAACAGAAATATGTGATTATTCCTGGTAAGTAACCCACCCAGAGATTGGAGGTCACAATTCAGTATCCTTTGATCTCAATTTTGTGTTCGGTAATAAATAACACTGACATCTCAGCTCAGAGTTGGTTCTGAATTGTCATCTGTACTCAGGGTGGCACTTGGATGGTTGTTATCAGATACAGATTCATGTAATAGATCACCCCCTCTCAGGAGCCACAGAAACTGATAGATAGGAGAGCTCCAGCCGTGACAAGGATTTGTCTATTTGTGACTTTGCTTCCTCATGGCTGCAGTTAAATTTCTATATGATGCCATCCTTAACCTCTCTGGCTGAAACTGGGACATAGAGCCACACAGAGACCAACCATATGACTGGAAAAGCTGTATTTTGCATCTCTCTAAGATTCACATCCTCATGTCCACCTTAGTAAATGCCACTCCTGATACAGGAAAAGCCTTCCCATCAAGAATGCCCTTTCAAGAATGCCCTTTCTTTTCTTTTTTTTTTTTAATGTCTTTTTTTTTTTTACATTTATTTATTGTGTGTGTGTGTGTGTGTGTGTGTGTGTGTGGCCAGCTCAGCCCACCAGGGGGTGCGGCTGGCTGGCATGTGGTGCTGGGGGAATCGAACCGCGGTCCCTGTGCTTTGCTAAGCTTGTTCTAAGTAGGTGCTTTAGACCACTGAGCCATCTCTCCAGCCCCCAAGAATGCCCTTTCACCTGAGGTAGGATATTTAGTAGATGAAAAAGGCTCTGTAATACTAGAATAAAGTATAAACGGCACCAAGACAGACTGCTTTTTGGAAGTGCCTGTAAGAAATCAACCCTTGGAGGAGGAGAAGGGAAACTAACAAGAATTAAGGTGTGTTATATGTATGTACCAAATGTATGTCATTATTATATATGCAAACACGTACTAATAAATTTTCTTTTTTAAAAAAATGTATTTCTGGGCTTGGGAGATGGCTCGGTGGAATAAGCTCTTCGCTGGCAAGTGCAAAGGCCTAAATTCAATCCCTGGTTCTGCAAA